AAAACCACTGAGGGATCCATGAGAACAAACAAACTTTTCCTGTCAACAAAGACCATCCACCTCTATGGCAAAGTCAGCTTTTGTTCCATGTTATGTTATGTACCGTCAAGTCAAAACTGACTTATAGTGGCCCTGACAGAGCTTTCAACGCAAGCAAGGTGTTTAAGGAACATTTTTACCAGTTCCACACCACCAGTGAGTTTCCATGGCTGAGTGAGGATTCAAATCCAGGTTTCCTGAGTCCTACTCCATCAGTCTATCCATTACACCATAGTGGGTATCTTTTCACTCCATAACAGCCTGATTATATGAAGTCTATGCCCAAAGCAGATGTTTTACTTCAGTTTATTATAAAAGCTGGCTCTGTGGATAGAAGTGCCCTTACTTAATGAAGTTCCATTAAGCTCAGTAGGATTCATTCCTAAGCAAGTAAACTCAGAATGTGGAGCACATTCACTAGTGTATATTTTTAAGTACTACCAAAATCTAGATGTGTTCCAAATAAGAAATTAAAAATAACTAATTGGTAAGAAGACCAATGATTTCCTCATCAGGATGTCAATTAATAAAAACTAAAACAACACAGATAACTCACACTTGGATGGCTTAGTGGTTTAAATACCTGGCTGTGGAGGTTGAGAGTTCAATTCCCCATTGTGCTTCTGGCGAGCAGAGCCAGCCTGTATGGCCTTGGGCAAGTTGCACAGTCCCAAGACACCCCCAGAAGAAGGGAATGGTAAAGCACTTCTGAGTATTCACTGCTTAGCAACCCTGCAATGGGTTGCCATAAGTCATAACTGACTTCACAGCACATGATGCTGATGATTATCTCACATGTTAGTATTATTACCACAGAGCGGGATATGACAACAGTTGAAATTAAGTGCAGTACCAGAACACATGACATTTCAAGCTATTGTGTTTAATATTGAGGGCATGTCTCAAATAGGAATAAAGAGGTCAGAGTATGCAGAAAGACTACCTTTATATAAATTTGAGTAAAGGGTTGAAATCTGTGAAATGCTGTCTCATAGAAAATATCCTATGAAACAGATTAAGAACTCATTTTGTTTGAATAATAAATCTGAATGTTTGTACTTTATACCTAATTTGTTATCTAAGCACAAATGTTTTCTGATGTGTTACTGAAAACAAAAAAGTGCATCCCTTTTTGTTCATTATTGTTAATTACAGTGCAAACCTCCCATAATTAAGCTACAGTGTAATTCAATGCAATATAAAACATCTCCTCCTCATTCCTTTAAATTCCAGTATTTTTAAAGACAGTTCCTCATAATACAGTTTTAAATATATGATTATTAGATTGTTTCACTGCTTCATGTCTCTTTGCCCTTCGCTCACTGAATGCACATTTTTCAAGTACACTTTTAGGAAACAATAGTAGAACCCCTTGGAACCCTGCCTTATGCAATAACAAATGGGCAATTGTCTTACCACAGTGGTCTAATTTAATTATACATGCATGGAATTCTTACACTGCATTATAAAGAATTTCTTCCCCCAGCTCTTGCCACACAAGCCATATTATGGAAAGGCTGTATGCAAATGTTTTGCAGCCTTTTGCTCAGTTCCCCTCTCTTGCTTTAGAAAGCAGGAGGCCATAATCCTCCCTTTGTGACATCAATCATTTTCTGCAGGCCTGATGTGCCAGGTCTGGAGGCTCCTCAGGACAAGCTTTGCTTTCCCTGCTTTGAATGAGAATCAGCACAGTCATCATCCAGTCTTTGAAATGCATCCTGAGTACATTTTGCCAGGTCAGTTTTACATACCCAGGACCAGATGCCACCAACTTCCACTGACAATACAGACACAGCATCTGGGCTTCTGTGCAAAAGCCAGCAGGGTCCTGTCTGTAAACATTCCTTGTTTCACAGTCATTAGGAACAGTAACATTACAGAGCCTGCCTGGAGGTTAAAGAAAGCTACACAAAGTTTAGCTGACACCTGAAAATCCTCCTTTCCTTGCAGCTTCCACTGCTTCCCCGATTCCTCCTCCTTCTTTTAATCTCATGTTTTACAGAAAGCCTGTCCCTTCAGAGGTGTGGGCAAAACTTCCTAAAGGGAGTGCTTCATAAAGAAACATGCTACAAGACCAGGTTTCACCTACTTAAGAAAAGAGCATAGAGGGAGTCTGAACAGTTATAACAATTGCAATGGCCCAGCAAGCTACAGATAATAGTGCATTTTCTGAGCTGTGATGCATTTGACCAAATTACCTTTCTGCAAAGAGGCAGAAAGAACCTTCCATTTCCCTCTTGCCATCATGCAATATTATGATCTGATTCATCACAGCACTGGCCTCAACGCAGAATGCCTGTACAATGTTATTAAATTACCTGCCACTTCAGCATAACAAGGTTATGCAGACTCCAGCATCTGAATTTTTATAGTCTGCCCTATCAGAAGCTTACCATCTCTCCCTAAGAAACACAGAAGTGATGGACACAAACCTCATGGCTTGGCTTGTGAACTCTGAATCTTTTTAAGGAACCCAAATGTTGATGTTCATCACTTTCAAATATATTCAGGTCAAAAACAGTTGAAAAACAAAATGTTCCATCCTTATGCATCTTTACTTTGGAGAAAGTCTCACTGATCAGTTCAATAGGATTTGCTCCAAAGAAGTACTGGCCCGTAAAAAAGACCCGAGAGATATTTTGGGGAACTTCTACATTTTATGTCTGTACGTTACATGAACATGTGTGCCTATGAATGGAAAGCACAAAAGCCTACGGATAATCAAAAAGTAAGGTCACTAAGAGCAATCTTTGCTGTAGTTTAGTTTCTCGAAGAGCTGAAAAGACAGGCAGCAGCAAACCTCTGAGTGCACACACTTCCTCCTCCCTTCCCCCCCCCACTCTCTAATCACTTAGGAGGAAGATAGGAAGATTAGCAAGGGGAGGGGGAGGGGAAATTGCTGCTAACACTTTAGGAGCATAATACTGCACATTGTGATTTGGACCCAAAGCTTGTAAGTCTATGCTCACTTACTTAGCAGTAAGTCTTGCTGAACTCAGTAGGACATACTTCTGAGAAAGCTGGCATAAGGAACAGCCCGCAATATAGCTAATGTTACAGAGTATGCAATAAAATACACTTTTTCTCATAGATGGGCATTAGGCAGAATGGAAACTCTCTGAAGGTAGAAGGTAAAAACTGTGTAGCAGGGATAAGGCCTATCTAGGAACCAACCAATAGTATATGGCAAGCAATCTTCTCTAGATACAGGACTATTTTTATTGGCGCATCATGATATTGCAATCATTTTGGTGAGAGTTTTATTCTCCTTGGTTCTTTTTTATATCAAGATATATTTCATGGTGAATCAGGTTCATGAGAAGGAGGATTTTTTTACTCAACACTGTTAAGAATTAAGGGGAGCAGATGTATTAAGCCACTGCAGTAGGGGAGGAGGAGGAGGATGAAACAAATAAAAGTCCCTTTCCATTTTAAAGCAGTGCCATTCTCATAACAATTCCATTCTACAAATGGTTGCTATGGGGTTTAAAGAGAAGGATGGGGGGTGGTGGTTTTCAATCAATCATTGCAGAAAAGCTTGGTCCCTTTCAGAGAAAGATCTGGATTTCAACTCAGTCCCTAAGAAAATTGCAGGGACTGCAGAGCTGCTGCCATGCAGGGCAGCAAGAAAACAGGCAGAACAGAGGCAGCAGCTGGAGATGGAAACGCCTATTAAATCCTTTAGACAACAGATGGGCAAAGCTAGGCTGTCGTTTAAAAAAAGCAAAAAGCAAAACACAATGCACCATGTTTTATTGTCCCACCATTATGAACAACACTTAACACCCACAAGCCTCAGAGAAGACCTATCTGATGTGTGCTCATAACCCTCCTTCTCTAAAAATGTCACGCCAGAAAGATTCAAACCCATTTCTGGGGGTACTGAGCGATATCTGGTGGCCAGACAAGACTGCCCACTGCACCTGTTATGAAAAGGGGGGGGGCTAAAAAAATCAGGAAAGACCGGCAGGCAGACATCTGACATTTCTGCAACGCTCCCCTCTTTGCAATTATACTGTTCTGCTGCCCTTGAAGTAAATCTACCAACACAGACAACCAGCGAGTCCAAATCTTCAATGCACGGAGGGGATCTAATTATGTCACATAGGGAAAAAGCACCTGCTCCCTGCTAATGCCCTGCACTACATTTCCTCCTTTCATATTGCTTGCCATTGTTCCTTAAAGGTAGCAGCAGCAACAACAAACCACTGGCAACAAACTGAAGAACAGGGAATCCTGAATTAGTCCATGAAAATACAGTGAGATTAAAACAAAATAATATGGCCAGAGAAGGATTTGAAATGTGGGGGGAGGGGTTTGTTTTGTTGCTTCTGATGACTTTTCCCATTTCTCATAGTGCAAGAGACGCTTTCCAAATAATGAATGAAGGCAGTGTCATAGATTGCACGAAACATCTCCCCCTCACACAGACCCCAAACATCGTACCTCCACCAGCTGCACCTTAAGGACTACACCCTTTTCAATCATGATGTCATAAAACACTGCTGGTAACTCCCAGCTTCCTCCTCTTTTCACTGTCTGCTATGTGCCACTCAATGTGATTGAATTCTATTTTTTTAAAAAAAGGAAAACAATGAAAGTGGTGCCCCGAATCAACACAAAATTCACCAGCAGACGAGCATCTTCTCTCCCCCCCCTTCCAGTCAATCAGCCCCTCCCCGCACGCACTTTGACTGGCATCAGAACACCACCCCTTTCCAGGAGTGATCCACACAAAGCAACCTGGGCTTGTTAAAACAAGATTTAATTTGCCCCCCCCCAAAAAAAAACACCCAAAACAAACCAGACGGAGCGACAGAGAGAAACCACCTTACAGTCATGCAAGCTACCCATCAGCCAAAGACATGGAAACGACCAGGGAGCCTAGGCTCTCCTAGCTCCATCATCTCCGCAAGTGCTTGCTACCTTCTCTCTGGGGTGGCTGCTGCAAAAGAACCAACCTGTCTGTCCTTTGCCCAGGGTTTTCTCCAAACGGTAGGGTCCAACATATTGTGCATGCTGAGCTCCGCTGCCTTCTTTGCCAGTAGATGTCATTTCTACCTGGCGCTCTGTAATTCTGCGAGGTTATGTCTTGTGCTGTGGTTGGGGAATCTCGGGGCTCTTTTTCACTGCAGTTCTTTAAATTCCCACTTTGCCGCTGTGCAACCAAAGCATCCAGCCCGCCTCACACTCTCTCTCTCTCTCACACACACACTCTTCGGCTGATCTTAGTCCACTTAGCTGAAGAGTCGCTCTTCCTCCTCCTCCTCCTTCTTCTTTTTTGTTTCCCCTCTTGTTTGCTGCCTGCCTAGGAAAGGGATGGCCGGGAGCAGTTCTTAGCCAGTGTTTAGCACAGGGGTAGGAAATCTAAGATCCAAGCCTGAGAAGAAGATGATGCATGGTGCTGGTCATCAGCACTCCCGCACGCCTTAGTTCTTCTCTCTAGGAGCTGTTCAAGGGAGAGCTGAGCGCTGGAGCAGCGGAAGAGCTGGGGCCCGCCGCTCCGACTGACAGGAGAGGCAGCCAATCCCTGACAACACCTTAGCCTGCCTCTCTCCCCCCCCCAGCCCGCCCGCCCGCGTTCCATCCACTACCTTTTCTTTTCCATCAGCATCAGTTGCTGCCTTTGCCTGCTTCAGAGCATCATAACCAATGGCAACAGCAGTAAAAATGTGAGGGGATTTTTTTCTCTCCCGATAAGGTCAGTAGTTAATCAGGATTTCAAAACTCTGCTCCATTTTAAACTTTACAAGCGCAGGCAAATGAAGCGAGAATCACGTTAATATCTGTAACAGGGATTAATTAGGCAATCTTACTGTATTTGCATGCACAAAGATTAATATGTAACAATACTACATATGTTTCTCTATCACTTACATTTAAACAGGTATGACTAAAATGTATCCAGTTCTTTTGACCAAGAGTTATTCAAAGTAAAGGGGAAGGAGAGATTGAGGGGGAGAGAGAGAGGTGAGTGAGACCAGCAAATTCTGTACCAACCTCAACAGAGCAACCAAGCTCTTGAGCTTCAGCCACCCATACCTATGTTGCAAATAATGCCTGCTGAGGTTGTACAGCATGAAAATAAAAATCACACATGAAAAAAAAAAAGAGGCCTAGTGGGATTTATAGGCGATCCTATGGGTCCGCAGTGATACGTAAACTCATGATTGGTACCAAGGCAGAGTTGGTTTGTAATGAGTTCTACGGTAAATTTGCTTTTTAATTATAAGGCCATGGCGTAGGAGCCCTGAAATAAATAAATCACATGGGTGCACATAGGTGAAAACCCATACTCCCCATCATGAAATACAGCTTGATTATAATTAGTTGTTAGAGGAATAAAGGAGTGTTTTTATCTTTAACCTGGGCCACCCTAACACTTGTGTAACTGTTCTAGCTGTCAGGGAATTCAGTTATCAAAAAGGTGACACTTTTCCTTCAGCAGGTCAATGGTGCCTATGAACATTAATGATCAAATCATAAAATGATGTAAATCAGAGTAGAAGCTGCTTAACTAGCAGAAGTACATTAGTGTATCTGAACTACCAATATATTATTCAAATAAAAGTAACAGCCACTTGATAATTGGTTTGTAGTGAAGTTAAAGCTCACAGGCCCAGGGCATTACCACCTTTGGATTGATAGAGACAGTGACATCATCTGCCACCCCTTCAGGTTTCTGCTGTCCTCTCCAGGCTTAGCTAAAATCTTCAGAGTAGCTAAGGGAATGGATTTTCCACAACAATAGTATGTTGGCATGAGCTATTTCCATTGTAAAGGAAATGATTTTTGTGTGGCTTGGATTAATGGGCAATTAAGATCCATTACCTTTACAAAAGGATACCCAGTGTGTTATTGTGGATTGAGTAACAGACTGGGACTCAGGAGGCCTGGGTTTAAATTTCTGCTCAGCCATGGGAATTCACTGGGGATGTGGAACTGGTAAAACCATTCCTCAAATATCTCACTTCATTTGAAACTTCTGATAGAGATAAATAAGTTCTGACTCAAAGGCACATAACTTTTCCAAAAAAAAAACTTATCCTCAAGTGAAGGTGAAACTTACTAGATGAGGTTTGTTAATATAGAAAATCACAACTGTTTATTTTCTTTTTAATCTCCTTTAGGAAGCTGCTGTTTATGCTTTCACACTGACCACTGTACTACAAAGTGTACCACGGTGCTATTGCATATGGATATACCCTACTACAAAACATTCCCCCTTTCTTTCCTATCCTCCATAATGACTTCCAATGCAAATTCCTTTCAATACTTTTTAATCCTTTTGACATTTTTATGGATATTCTGCACCTCTTCCCTTCATGTATCATGGTCAGAAGAATTGGATGTTTCTATGAGGCAGCTGCTGTTTTCAGAGCCTTATTTATATTTCAGCAATTTAATTACTTCTCTAAGTTCAGTGGAACCAGTCTTAGAGGCCTATAAACATATGGTACAATCTTTGCAAACTCATCTAACATGCTTTAAGATGGATGTAACCATGGTCCCATCCATGGTTACATCCATCCTATTCTAAGCATCTTCCATAATACCTCTTGCCTTTGAGATTTCACATGGTTTTCAAACTCACCTGCTGTCTCCCAGCCCTAAAACAGCATTGTGTTCACAACACATACATATATAATCTTATCTTACTATCATTGTCTTTACAGTATTATTATTTATTTATGGTGTTTGCATACTACCCTGTAACAAAAAGTTCTCCGGAGACCTCACACAATACATTCTTCCAAATGAATTCATTCTGTCCCAGTCACCTGCAAGGCCCTCCAAGGTGTATTTGCAAAACAGGGTTCATCACCGGGTGACTAAAAAGGCTGAGCGATAACTTGCCTATGTGAACGAGAAGCACAGCACACTCTCTAGTTCAAACACCACAGCAAGAACTTTTACAGCACCTCCCATCATTTCATACACAACAGTTTTTAACTCACACATTCAGCTGCGGATTGCTGAGGCCTGGTTTTCACATGGATGCTCATCAGTCAGCAATTGCAACAACCAGGACTGACCTGGCATGCATGAATGGGCCATCACAGTTAACAGTTGCAGACCATCTCGCTTCCTTTCAGACACCAAGATTATTCAACAGGGTTACTAACACAGTTAGCGTATACTTAGATTAAGCCTGTTCTCTAGTCTAATGTATGGGTTTGTTTATAATTTGCCTTGACTGATGCTGTGAAATTCTTTCAGTGCTTGTGGCAAGATAGGGTGTAAATGTTTAAAAAAGCATAAACCATTATTATATCACCAATCAGCAAGTATACAATAATAAAATGATAAGGTAGCCAATGACTGAATGGAGTGTGTGACACACTGAGCAGTTCAAGTCAAATGATATCCATTGATGGTATGTAGATTTGTGAATCAGATTCAAGTTTCATTCTCACTTCTATTTCCTCTGTCTTTCCCCTGCCAATTCTACTTGGTGCTGTCCGTAGTATTCCTCTCCCCAGCTTTACTTTTTGTTTAAAAAAAGGTTCTTTTTAAAATGAAGTTGAAAAATAATTCAATAGTATTGCTTAAGAATATTGACTTTTCAATTCCTGCATAAAGTGGACATCTTAATCTTTGATGTTGACTTGTAACATTTTATTCTGATATCTTGCAATTAAAAAAAAATCTGGTCTCCTCTATGCTACTACTATCTTGCTATAGGCATAGCTGGAAATCCGTCATTCAAATGAAAATTCAACCTTAAACTCAACAGCTAGCATTAGCTAGGCCTTGGCATTAGAGATGGGTAAAAACCGCAGTTTGGGGGTTTGGCCAAGTTCAGAGCTGCACCCACACAGGTGTTATGCAGTCACCACACACTCCCCTCTCCCATCTTCTCTGTGTGCTCATCCATTAACATGTTTCTCGCCTCCTCCAATGGCCATCCACTTAGATGAGGAGGCAGGACAGGGAAGCCCGCAGCACTGCCTTTGAGTGGGCAGCTGCCAGAGGTGGTGGAGAAGAGAAGCACATACTGCAGTCCATGAGTGGGCAGTTGCACTGGGGAGGCAGGGAGGGAAGTGCACATTGGCCAGGGAATGAGTGAGCATGCAGAGGAGGCGGGAGAGGGGAGTGTGCAGCACCTGCAGAACACCTGTGTAGGCAGGGTGTCAAACTGTGGTTTGTCCCTATCTCCACTTGACACTATCATGTTTATTACAGAAACAATAATGCAGGCTTCACTTGCAGAGAATCATTGAAAGAATTAGCATAGCCAAACTAGATAGTCGTGGAAATATTTATTCCCTATTAGTAACCTGTTTTATCTCCCACAGCAGTATTCCTTTAAAGATACCTGTCTCAGCGATTAGACTTACACATAAAGCGTGTGACCAGTCATAAAAAGAAAGCACACAGAATGACATGTAGGTGAAGAAAATCATCTGCTAAGAGAAACAATATTTTTACTGTCAGGGAAAGCATATCTGCAAAAATAACATGGTAAACATATTGTTTAGGGTGACCCTGAGCAAGCCACTATGGAATGTGGTTGAGATTTCCTCCCCAAAGCTCAGTGATTTTTTTTTTCAAAAGGTAGATTAGCACTTAAAATGTCTAATTTAGCAGGTAACCATACGAGTCGGTTTTGTAACAAAATGGAAACTATAAATAATCATGTAGCACTGCTAAGACCAACTACTTATTTTTCATAAACTTTTCATCTGAAGAACTATGCTTGGACACAAGAAACCTTATGGAAAATGAAAACTAGTTAGTTTTATCAGAGTTGGATGGCTATTTCTGGTTTTTCTTTGCTTAGAATGTCTGATTCTCTGGTGAGAACCCAGACATTTAGGACAATTTAATAAATGTACTAGTAGCTACAGCAATCATTCTAGATTTTTGCCACTTTATCTGCAGTAGGAAAGTAGGCTAGAGTGAATTTTGAAGTAACAACATCACATTTGGAAAGCATAGTATGGGGGTGGCTGTAGTGTCAGACAGAGTTCTAATCAGGATCATAATCAAGGTCAGGTGCTATGGCAGGAAGTCACTTCATAGAGCAATCCAATGGGAAACAGACAGCATCTGTTCTGAAGCTGAACAGAGGGAGGGAGGGGTAACATTTATTTATTGTTCTCTGTCTTTTGCTGAACTATTTCTTTCCCATTACAACAGGAAGGAATTTATTTATAATAGCTCCAGGTCTGTGTACTCTGATTTATATACAGTATTAGGTTGAAGCAGAGAAACAGAGATGGAGATTAGGAAGAATTTTATTTGGCCGTTGTTTTTAAACAAACCAACCTTTTTGAGTAGTAAAATCAGAATAGTTATATTTCAAACTAAGGATTTGGACATTACTCAAAGATTTTCTCATTGCTAACTTAACTTGCTCATTCTTAAGTCCTGCTGTGCCAAAACTTCTCACAAAGACTTTCCTGCAATCAGCAAAATGTCCAAGCTTATTGTGATGCTGAGCACCAGTCTCATTTCTTCATTTATTTTTGAAAGATTGTTTTTTCAC